ACATTCACACTCCACACTCTTTTTTTTAAGATCCACCAGTCTCCCTACCTTATGAGAACTGGAGTGGATCCTCAACCTGGGGTCCAGTGTGTGCTGTGACGGAGCTCCATCCATATGTGCATTGCTTGTACAGCTCCCTTGTGTGCCCTGTAGAGGTGCTGGAAGCCAGACATCACTCTGGTCCAGGCTCCTCTACAGGGCAAGCGAGGGAGCTGTAAGCAATGTAAGCAATGCACGTATGGATGTACCCTTGCGGCCATGGCCCCATCCCACCCCACCCCTCCTAAAGCTGACACTCGGCGCCGGGCAGCATATTTTGAATGGCTGCTTGCTGTGAGAACTGACCGTGCTGCACTAGGAGAAGGCAGAGGAGCCTCTCGCCTAGAAAGTGGAAGGCATGCGGCGACCCACTGAACGCAGTGTCGCGACCCACTTTTGGGTCACGACCCACCAGTTGAGAACCAAGGGTTTAAATAAAAACTGTATCAGTGTGTAGTATATGTTCCTGGTTGCAAAATATTGTAATTTAGTTTAAAAAAAAGCTAAGTATAAAAATAGTAGCAGAACAGTTTATTGACCAGCTGGAATTTAAACCTTGTACGCATATGTTACAGTAGAGATGATGGAAACCAACAAAACATTTAAAAAACAACAAAACAAGCTAATCCACACAGTAAAGTGTAAAAAAGAACCCTGTGATGAAATATAAGTACTTTATGGGTAATGCACTGGATCAAGGGTATCACGACCCTTCTGGCGAAATACTAGAAATGCTGAGTAATCTACATCTCACAATTGCTATTAGTGCAAAGTGCACTGTAACCAGTTCAACTCCAGAGCAAGACTACAGTTTGCCACTCTAGGAAAAGACTATACCTGAAATCACAGGCACTAATGACTTTACCGGCTTGAACTATTGAACTTTGTAAACAACAGACTATGATATATCTGGGAACCATGTAAAACAGTCTCCTATATAGCTCAAGCATCTGACTGGAAATGGCATTAAGAAATCTCCATGTGCAATATTTTATTTTTAAATTACTAAATACATAAAGAATTATTTTAAATGTATTAGTGCTGGACAAAATAAAGCAATAAATACAAAACAATATATGTTTTGTTTAAATGCATGGCAAGGGATGTAGGGTTTTATATATTTCTCTATGGCTGAATAATGTGCAGAGGATGAAAGGAGAAGCCACACAATGATGCTGAGATCTGTAAAGGATGCTGTCTCAGTGACAGAGTAGGGTTGCCACCCGTACGGGAATGACCCGGACAGTACGGGTTAGTAATCCTGTGCCGGGTACAAGCCTTTTGCACACCCGGGCACGGGATTCAAACTGCAGACTTGCTCACCTGACAGCTGGAGGTGAGCGGCGGGCGATGAGGTGACAGTCAGCGGGGGCCGGCGATGAGGTGTCGGTGGCGGGCGATAAGGTGTCAGCAGCGGACGATCAGCTGTCAGTGTCACAGCGGGCGATCAGCTGTGAGTGATGCTAGCGCAGGGCGGCGCTGTCTTCAGACACTCCCTCCCTCCTTCTCTCTGCTAGTGAGAGGAAGTGACATCAGAAAGAGAGAGGGAGCGTGGGAGAAATCATTCTCCAGCAGCCTGCACGTGGAGCAGTTTCTTCTTCTTTTCGTCTGGACTGGGAGTCAGACCTCTGCGACCAACCCCGTGACTGCCGTCCTTCTCCACACACCTGGACCTCTGAACTTCTAAAAAAGGTATTTAAAACATTTAAAGTGTTTAATAAAAAATATTAATTGGAAGGGGGGGCACGGCACTTGTTAGTATTGCACATAAAACATGCCCCCATAAAAAAATGCCACAGGTAACCAGTGACATGTTTTGTGGGGGCGTCTTTTATGTGCAATAATACATAGAGTCCAATACAGACATCCAGATTTCATGTCAGTGCAAAATCCATTTTATTGATAGTTGTCGTCCAATCGACAAATTGGGAGAGTTGTCCCTGGATGCAGCGCTGCCACAAGGGTGGGGGTGGCTGGGTGTGGGTTGTTGGAATGATGGGTGTGCTGCTTCTTATAGATGCGGACCGGGGTGTCCGTCGTTTGCCAAGGGGATCAAAGAGAAAGGGGAGTAAAGAAGCGCTACTACCATATATAAATGAATGGAGATGACCAACTTACCAATGGATGGATGGTGGAGCGTAATCAGCGGCGAAGGGTCGATGGGTGTAGGTCCATGAATGGTGAGGGTGGTGATCACTCAGGGGGATGTGTGAGCAAGTAGGGGGTATGTAGGTCTCTGCTGTGGTGGCTGAGGGGGGCACAGTGTAGATGCTGGCCTGGGTATGTGTTCGTAGGAGAGGGGGGCTGGTTATTGCAGGCACAGTGAGCAGAGAGATGATGCTGGTAAAATTGTAAGGGGTGATGCTGGATGACAAGCGCTTTTGGGGCCGCGCAGGGTCCCCTTCATCAGGCCCAGAAATGCGCTTGTCGTTTCAATGACAACTATCAATAAAATGGATTTGCACTATAGATGTACCGATACCGATACTAATATCGCTGCCGATACAGAGTATTTGGGCGAGTACTTGTACTCGTCCAAATGCTCCGATACCTTCCCCGATATTGGAACTTCCGGTCGGAGGGAGATGTCCCTCTGACCGGCAGCACCAAGGGAGCATACAGCCAACTTCCTTTCCAATCAGAAAGCCGGGAGGTGGGTTATCATCCGCCTCCTGGCTTCCTGATTGGCTGGGAAGCCTGCTTCACTTGTTGCCGCTGGGCCTGCTCTGTGTAGTTTTTTTTTTAATTGTTTTTTTTCACTAACCTTAGGTGCGGGAGAGCAGCGGCGAGTCAGCGCTGGTCCGGTGGGAGGAGCTCCAGGTGGGGTCCTAATTTAGCTGCCTGCCGACTTCCAGAGGATAGGAAGCTAGGTTGCCTCTGAAGCCGGTGTTCTTTCACTTGAACGCCGTCTTCACGGGAAAGCAGGAAGCCAGGCGATGGGTCATGATCCGCCGCCCGCCTTCCTGATAGTTATGGTACAAAAGCACCAGTATCGGTACTCGGTATCAGCGAGTACCCGGAAAAAAAATACCGGTACTCGTATTCTATACCAAAAAAATGGTATCGGCTACGATGCACCTATATATATCGGCCGCCGGAACATATCAGCCAAAAACTGGACTTTTGGCTTAATGCCGAAAGCTAAAGGAGAACTATGGGGTTAAGGCTTTTCCCCGTAGTTCTCCTTAGGGTAACGGGAAGAGAGAAACTAGCGTCCTCCCGTCACCCTAAGCTCAGTATATAGGGAGCTACAGCTCGCGGTATACTGAGACGCCGCAGCTGAAGCGGATCCCGACAATTATGTCTGGATCCGCCCAGCTGCGTGAGTGACAGCTGGCTCTGCCTATCTAGAGGCAGAGCCAGCTGTACCCGCCCCCTCCCCCGTCCGTTCCGCCAGTCAGCGCTGGCGGATCGGAGCGGGGAGGGGGGAATCCAGCCCCTCCCCTGTCACGGCAGAGAGCCGTGACAGGATCGAGAGGTGAGCGAACGCCGGTATGTGTTCGCTCACCTCCCGATCTACTGAGCCGACCTGTGACAGTCTCATTGTCACAGGTCGGCTAGAACTATGAGGTGAGTGAAAAGCACTCACCTCATAGTTCTGCTTTAAATTTTTCTGCTGATACATCGGCGCATCCGTGATTTCTTTCCTCCCCGCTGGGCGCTGCTCTGTGTCCCAGCGGGTGAAGAGAGAAAGTGTGACAGCCGGCTGAGCGCTGCGGGAGGAGTGCACTTTGAGCAGCCAGCATCTCTCCTCCATGCACAGCTCAGCCTCCTATCGCAGATCGGCAGAGCGGTGTGGGGGCGGAGACAGGCCGCGCTGTCACAGGAGGCTGAGCTCTCCTCCCGCACCGCTCACTCAGCCTCCTGTGACAAGGTGTCAGAGAGGAGAGCAGGCTACAAGCACTCAGCGATCTCTGAGTGTTTGTAGATAATTGAGGATATGGTATGTTTACTATATCCTCAATTATGAATGAATGGGAAGTGATCTACATCTCCTCCTGTTCATTCATAATTGTGGTTATAGTAAACATACTCTGTCCACAGGGGAGACGAAAAAGAGATTGAGGACTCTGTGTCCTCAATCTCTTTTTTTTGTATTTTAAAAGGGAAATATCAGGGGTCTGTTTAGATCCCTAATATTTCCCTGAAGCCCCTAAAAGTAAAGTTTAAAAAAATAAATATATATATTTAAAAAAAGTTTCTAAAAAATAAATAAAAACAAAAGATTTTTGAAATCTTGGTGCTCGTGACATCTGTATTGGAGTTCTGTTGTGAGCGGTGACATCCACAGTCATTACGAGCACCCATTGCTTTTGGGATATCGGGTAATGAGTGCGGCAAAGTATATGGATATTGCTTTATATAGTATATATCTGGGGATCTGTGGCACACTTGCATCTTAGGGGGGCATTGTTTATGTACAGAATGCATATCTGTTGTGATTAACGAAAGTTGTGATTAACTCCAAATACATGCATAGTGTATACTTTACAAAAAAATTGCTGCGAGGCGCTACAGTGTTCGGGTTTGGCCTGAAGAAAAGGTGGCAACCCTATGACAGAGCCATGTAGATCCCAAAAATGTAAAGGTCCTTTTCACACTTTATTGATACACTGCGGTGTGTTAAGACATGTTATACTGTGTGTTAATGTGGAAAGAGCTGCCAACACATGGCTTGAGACAAAAGAAATTAGCCTGCATCAGATGCTGTAAAGTAATAATGCAAGGTGGAAATCTGACTATGTTTTATACGTAACACAGTCCTTTCATTTGAGCAACTTTAGTATTTACTATGTGCAGTACAGATGTTTTTATAAATAGGGTGAGGTGAGAGAGGGTCATAGTGAGGAGAAAAATCTTCAATGAAGTTTGCTGTTCACGGTTTCATAAATAGCCTCTTTATTTGTTTGATCATAATAAAAGGACACATTAACAGCAGAATTCAAAGTGTATTTCTTAGTTTATTGCTTCTTCTTGGAAGGAACTCTAGATACTTGACAAGCACGCGTTCCAAATCCCAGTGTCTGCAGGGATTCAGCTGTGAATGTCTGACAAGGAGAAATACACAACATCACAAGCAACTTTGCATCACCACCTGTATGACAGAAAATGTAAAGATTAAAAAAGATCTGTTTTTCAGAATTTGCCAGGGTAAATCTTAAAAATTTATAAAAAAAATTCCTGACATCACAATAGACAGAAATAGTATAATTAATACAAATTATTGCAAATAGGGTGTGAGGCTGCTACAGGTTGCTCATCTGTGTCATACATTTGTTAATACAGCCAAGAAACTAAATGGACTCTGGGGCTGTTCATTGCATCCTCCTTCCCCGTTTCTAAGCTGAATGATCATCCAATACTTTACTGTTATCTCCAGCAGTCAATCACACACACACCCTATCTCAGCATCATCATGAGACCAGGGCTCACTGGGTAATGGGAACGTGTTTCGTGCTTTTAGGTTCAATTAGATTTATTGAGACAGTTTGAGATGCTTCTAAGTGCAATTTGTGTGGCTTCATGTGTGTGCTTAAACAACAGTTGTCTTGCCTTTGAGCTGGTTGAAACCTGGAGTTGTGCTTTAACTGCAGTAGAGAAAACTGAGCTCACTATCATGGCTTTGCCGTTTGGCAGGGATGTGCGAATCAAAAGATTGGCTGCACAAAAATCTACAAATGCTTTGGTAGTTGAAACAGCTCCCTCTATGCTTAGAGTACAGCTTTAAGGAAACATTATTATCAAATAGGCACACATTCGGTTTGGGTGTGCTATTTTCCTCTCCATCTTCCTTTATATACTGTAGCGCCCTCTAAAATGTTGCTATTCAATTTAGAGATACCTGGACTGTAACCAGTCTAGATACTGATTATACAGAGCTCTGCACTCTATAGGTGTCCCTGAATCTGCTGGATCGATTGCTCCTCCTGTTGCTGAGGAAAAGGGAGCCTTGGCATACAGTGAGGGAGGATCCACCCTCAGGTTATGACTATGCACCTGGCCCTAGCCAATCCCTGAGTAGGATGACTCAGAGGCATGGTTGAGGGCAGGTAATAAAAGGTCTGGGGACATTGTGGAGAGCTCTCTTCCCCCTAGGGGCCTTGCCCTAGGAGGACTGTGTGTGATGCAGAGCAAATGGCCTGGGCCTCAGCACATGGCAGGTGCTGAGGGGCCTGGAGGCCTAAGGATACACTGATACTTCACTGGGCCCATACACGTGGCAGGTGTTGGGTGCCTTGTTCTAAGAAGATACTCTCATTTAACTGGAGTGGTCCTTGGCAGTTGCAGATGCTGAGGGCACAGAAGTTCCAGATCCTAAAGAGGAAAATACCTGATGGAAGCTGGGTC